GCATTTTGCGTTTATAGGTGATTTTAATAAAAAGCCATTTCCGTTTTCGAAAACACGTTTCTTCTATATTAAATTTATGTAAGACAAATTCCTTTTGGGTGAATTATAATTGTTCCAAATTACATTCTGGTACAAATTGTGTGCACTGTGTGTGTGTTTTTGTTGCTTTTTTAAAGATCACAATGTTTCGTTTCGACGCCCACTTGTTGTTTGATGCCTTCGATTTTATTTTTTACATTGGTAAGTAACGTCTCGACAGAACATGTTACATGCCTTTATCATTCCCATCCATTTTTCAGTTATTTCAATGTGTTTCATCCAAGAGTGATAAACACAAACTGAGATTGTAAAATTTTCACTGATTTTTACATTTGACACTTTAATCCAAAATAATATTTCGTAGATAGTAAAACCGGAGTGTTTTTTTTCTTTTTTGCCTGATGAAGAGACCTTGTTTCACCAACATGATATTGCATGCCCTCCCCTCCCTAAAAAAAATTCTGTTGGTAACAGCAGAGAACATGTTCCTAGGAAGCTAACACAAAAGCTGCTGCTATGCTCTAATTTGACGCAGAAATTTCATATTTATGTCTTTTGATGTTTTATTCATTTCATCAATTTTATGTTGAATTTTTTTCATCAAAGTTCATAATAAATAAAAATGAGAACCAAAATGTGCCTTTTTTAAATGACTCAAATACTGCTCTTCGTTTATTTACCTTGGGTTTTTTTCATATAATATATTATCCGTAAAACGTGTTCAGCGCCTTGCAGGCAGCTTTACTTTTGCTCTCCAGTTCCATGACTTGTTTCAAGTCTTACTGAATGGATCTTTGTGGAAAGGTTTGGCGCCGTGCTTTCTTGATGTGCTTAGACGACATTGGCAAACTCCTATAACTTCTTTCGCTGATAACGATTAAGAAATTTGAGGGAAGGGGGGAGGGGGGTTCTGGTTCCGTCATGTACAAATAACAACGAAACAAAATTTATCTTAAGAAGATCCCGAAAATAACACATCACATCTTTATTGATAAAGTAATATTGGCTACTTAAAAAGCTAGAATTGTTCACGAAGTTAGTCTTTTGTGCCATAAGTATATGAACAACAAAACACCACAATGTCTCTCAAAGATCTTATTGAATCACGTTATATATTTTTAAATTTATATATATATATATATATATATATATATATATATATATATATATATATATATATATATATATATATATGTATATGTATATGTATATATACTGAACGCCTTTAAAAACTCAAACGCAACATTTTCAAAAAATTATTTTTTGAAAAAAAGAAAACAAATGTGCTCCGATCGTCACGAGTTTTGGAGACACAAGTGACTAGATCTAGTGAATTGAAAAATTATTAGTCCACACACCCGTGCACGATTTTTGTTATTTCCATGAGTATTTTCATCACAATGCAGTAAACTATTCTTTGGTAAAATGTGAGATGACCCGTAGCTCTTTCCAAACATAATTCCTACCTTTTTTTCGATCAGTTATTATATTTCTTTCATTACAAAAATCCTCAACTTAGCGAAGCTGATTGCAACTTTTGCTTTTGTCTTGTTAGTGGCGAAATATTTGCCTGAGAAGCAGCAATACGGCAGAAATGCAATGCTTGTATTGTTCTCGACTTAAACAAAGATTTTAGCACCCTTGAAGTGTCCGAGATGGACAAAGAATAGTCTCGAGTGACCAACCCTGTTCAAGAGAGGTGGATTTTGCTGCCGCATTTGCCAAATCGTTTCAGTTCTCAAAAGAAACAGCTCAAGGCATGCTTACAGTGCGTTTGTTTTTTGTTGTTTTTTTATCGGTGTGACGCGCGGAGTAATAAATTCGGGACTTAGACCAAGAACGTCAATTAATGAAGCCGTGACAACAGCCCCCTCTTTACTGTGCAAAACAGCGCGAAGAAAAATCAGAATCTCTCAGTCATCCAACACGACACTCCTGCCTTTACACTGCCCATGTAACTTTAAAAACCACTTCTTTTAATCAATCTTCATTTGATACAAACGTGTTCACACTCTGCGAACAAAGCATTGAGTTTTTAATGGCGTTCAATGTTTACATAAATATGTATATATAATTAGCAGGGCCCCCTTTCGATGAAACGAATGATCGGTGCATTAACATCAACTGAAAGTCATTGGCCGTCTATGTTTACACTCTACAGGAATGGAGCAATAAATCTTGAGAAGTGCAAAAAAATTAGAAGGACTAGATCTATACTCTCAAACCAAAATGCGCCACGCGACATATCACTTCCGGCACTTTCGCCCTGAAGGACAGCCACGCAGATTTGTTTCGCGTCTCAGTGGAATAACCACAAAGGCCAAAGAAGGGCGAGAACTTTTTGTCTAATGTATTTTTATAAATTCAGGAAACGAATAAATTAAAAAATCGAGCTCAGTCACGGGGACCTATCTATCTTTTTGCAGGTACTTGCCAACTTTCAACTCTGTAGCTGTCGTAGTTTTATGGGAAAAGTAACAAATGTGTTTCCAAGTTGCCAAATATAATACATTTTATAATAATATAATATATATATATATATATATATATATATATATATATATATATATATATATATATATATATAATATGTATAATTAAGTATATATAAACCTCCAAGACGTAGATCGTAGGATGAAAGTCTCATGAGAGTGCCTCCCGTGAGGCCAAACAAGTTGGGTGGAATGGCCCTGTCTTCCTATGCCGCTAAAATTTGGAATCTCCTCCCAAAAGACATGCATTTTATAACATCATAGAGAGAGTTTTTCAAAGTCTAAAGACACATTTTAAATTGTTCAACACTATCCTCTTTCCGTAAAATTCGTATATGATAATATGTGTTGTTGTTGTTGTTGTTGTTGTTGTTGTTGTTGTTGTTGTTGTTGTTGTTGTTGTTGTTGTTGTTGTTGTTGCTTACTCTTTTTGTTTTTGTTTGCTTTCTTTTCTTTCTTTTTTTATAGAATATTTTAGAACTCGTGATGTGATGTTATTTGATATAAAAGCCTACTTTGGGCATATCAGACACCATGATTCACTCAAGAAATATTATTATTTTGGAAGCAACAGTAGAAGGCAAGAGAGGAAGGGGGAGCCCTATAGAAGATGGGATCAGGACCAAATATAATCCTGGTTTGGAATCAAAACAACTCAGGCAGGCAAAATGACAAGGGACAGAGTGTTTTATTGTAGAAAGGTCCGAAAAGCAACGTCCAGCCCCTGGAAAAGCTAAGACGAAGAAAAATATATCACAAATAATCGATTTTCCCGAGCACTCAATTTCGTAGCGACGGGTGTTTCAGGCTGTGCCAGGGAACATTGACTGCTAACGTCAGTGTTACCTGGGAACAGCGACTTGTATTTTACCGTATTTTTTTGTAACAGTTTAACTTGGTGTGCTCGTTTACAATAACAATTGCAGCTAGATAAATCCGTTACATTTCTTCTCGCTTTTCAAAAACTAGAGCTCGCTCAAGTCACTTTAATGTGGAAAGAGGGGGGGGGGCTACACAAAAAATGTATACGGATGAATTGATGTCGTCGGGAGAGGGGAAAAAAGGTCAGCCAATCCGAAGTTCTACTTAGGTTGAAAATATACTGCCACGCACAACTGGAGTGCGCCGCGAAAAAAGTCGTGCCCTCCTCTTCATTACTTATGAGTGATTTCACTGATACGACTAGATAAGACGTGAGGAGTCGTGAGGACCCAAAAAGACGTGCGTGTGTGCAGCACTTGTTTTTTGCGTGCGGGCAGGCTCGCCCTGCTATCGGAGTGCTCCGGAACACCGTGGATATACAACAAAAAGGGGGGGGGGGGCGATCACTGCGCTGTTTTCGCCTACTTGGCGCCATTTTTTTACACAGCCGGACGGATTCGCGCTGACCTATGGGATCATCTCTTCCGACCTAGCTGCTCGCCCATTTCGCGGCACGCTTCAGTTGTGCGTGGCAGTATACTTTCAGCCTTAACCGTTGAGATCTGTAAAAAGAAGAGGTGCTCGAACCCGAGAAAAAGATCAACATAACCGAAGATCAACTCAAACGATTTCGACAGAAGCGGAGTCGATTGTACCTGTATGTCTCCACCCCTTTCCCGTACTTAGTATCCAGTGGTTGCAATGTGCTGTTGAACTGTTTTCAGTCTAAAAATACTCAGCTCCCGAAGCTTGTTTATCATATGTTTCGAGGTGAAAAGTGAGAAGCACCTCATTGAGCCTAGATCTATATATATTGAAAAGTTTGATAGAAAGCAACCACTCACACATTCAAGTGAAGGCAGGCTTGTTTGACAGAGCAATCCTTTAGTAGTTATTCCCACTTTCGGCAAAACGGAAATACGATTTTTAAACCTGTAGTAGGTATAATAGCCTCAAGATTTTTTAACAGTTAATCTTACTAAAAATGCAAATTATGCAAAAGGAGAAGGCTGATTTTCATTAGATCTCAATAAAGTGAAGAATAGTGCCTTTCGAAAAAATTTCCATACTGCAGTGTGTGAAAGCTTTGATGAAAAATGCACAACACAGTGGGTGACCTTGCTTCATTACTTATTTCTCTTTATAATTGCATTAATTTATATATTTCATCAAATCAGTTCCTCTGTAGTAATTTTGCTTATTTTACAACCGTAATTCCTAAAATAAAATTAGTTTTCAGCTGCCATAGCTATTTCTACATGATTTAAAGTTTAATCCCGTTCGACAACAAACTTCAATGAGATTCTGCGTCCCAGCAATTGCAGAATACTGGATCTGTTTTAATCTGTAAGCTGAAAAAGTGCATTTAAAAAACCATTGAATGTCTATGCGATGATCAAACATATCAAGACGATTTGCTCTCCTCCGGACGATTTTTAAGCTGTTTTTTTTTAAGGCAGTCATTGTTCACTGGTTCTCCGGTGTTTTGCGCTAAAATAAATGTATATTATTGTATTTCATATTTCTCAAAACGATGTATCTCCTCAGATCGAGACAAGTTTGAACTTGGAGAATATATTGAAAACAACGAATGGCACATTGTTGAAAACTCAGGTAAGTTTTGTTGACCTCTCTTTTGGTCGATTCTACCTTTTCGCGCTCAGGATGTGTGGGTAGGGTACGTCTGGATTGCTTGTGATTTGGGGGGGGGGGAGGCTCGATACGAGTGCCACTGTTAGAACATATATTATCTATTGATCGCACCGTTAGCTTTGTTGCTGTCTTGCTCGACTACGGAGCAGAGGGTGAGCCTTGTTGGAATGTCCAAAGGAGCGTTCTGAATTTAGGTTGTTTGGGAGTTTTTTAGATTGTTCACTTTCGTGGCTCGGTCCAATCGGGGGTGGACATTAATTTCGGAAATCCTGCCTCGGAAATAGCCTTACAATCTGAAAAGGGGCATTAACCCTAGACAATAACAATCATAAAGACAATGACAGAACATATATCCTGTTGGTAAAGACACTTTATAAAAAAAACAGGAGACATGAGCCTACTGAGCTTCCTCGAGAAAAGTATTGGCAAAGCTTTGGCCTAATGCAATATTATGCTGCCGCGAGAGATCGATTTTGTGTCGTGCTTTCTTTTGCGGGTGGAATATTTTCAGAGAAGAGGTGGGTTAAAAAGGAAAAATTATTTTGACAAATATTTTAGAAAATCACAGCAAAAAGCATATGGATTGTCTAAAGTTGAGATTGGTGTTTCGAAAACGAAATCTTGTGAGCTCTTCATGTCCTTATTGCTTGCTCTCTGCCTGTTTAAAGATCAAAGTCTGTGAATCGTAGCTCAGCTTGAGAAGGCAAGAGAATATTCTCTGAATATTGTTTTTGAGTAAACGTTTCAATTTGTCTTAGCGTGTGCGTTTATTCAATATGTCTTTGAAAGTATGAATGGCCTGAAAAGTAGGTTCGTACAATGGAAATATTCACATATGTCTCCTCTGGCTGAGCCGAAAGACTGGGAGCTTATATTTTCCTCGAACAGTCGGCTTTATACATAATAAGGAGGGGGGGGGGGATGAAAGTGGAGAAAGAAGTGGGGGAAATGAGTGGGGGAACACGTAGAGGAAGAGAGGTCAAACACTCTAAATTTCTACATTTTCTTTCAAATTGTCACTTACGCTAATATATAATTACAAAGAGAAGTCTGCCTCTTTCTTCACTTCTATTGCCTGGGCGAAGCTGACTACCATAATATTGTGCAGAAGCATACACTATCATTTTCAAGGCTGAAAATCATGTATTATTGCAATTAACTGTCTCAAAGTTTATGCTGGACGTTTATAATTAACAAGAAAAGTCTACCTCTTTCCATATTTCTGCTGCCTGAGCAAAGTTGCTTACCATAACAATAACGGTATTACTTCATCATCAAGTGCCAGATCTGCTCGACTGCTCTCAAAAGAGCCATATTACCCTGATATTTCCCCGTCACCCATCTGTTTAGGCTCACCTGATGTGTTGCTCTGGATCTAACCTCGTTTGCCTTCCAATTGTGTCAGTGAGAGCTAGATGCTCACGACCCTTATGTCAGTTCAAGTGTCCCAGAAACTGCATAATTTGTCTCTGTTCCTAATGGTTTTTACCCGTGAACAAGCCTCCCAGGCTTCTTCAGATACTATCTGATTTGATTTCTTTTCCTTTCAAGAAATTCTCAATATTCTTATTATAGTATTCCTTTCATCTACTTATAACGTCATTTCTAATGCAGAAACTCATGTATTATTGCAATGAACTGTCTCTCCCCTTCCCACCCCTACCCCCCCTCCCAATGCATTCTATACCAGGGGCTCGTCACGTAAAGAAATACACGTGTTGCCCAGAGCCGTACCCAGATCTCAAGTTCAAGTTACGACTGCGTCGCCGTGTGGCATTCTACACGTTCATCCTCATCATGCCCTGTGCTCTGCTCTCTTTACTTACCATGGTCATATTCTGGGTTCCACCAGAATCACCAGCCAAACTTACACTTGGTAAGTACTACTCGGGTCTTCCTGTTTTGCAGGCTGAAGACATTTGTTTAAATTCTATTTTGCCTCCTAGTTTGATTTTTCGTCCAACTTGGGGGAATCAACAGTCACAGTGATTACAACTTTATGAATGTATGGTTTTCTCGAATTTTGTATATTATAGGTGCATAGGTATTTAACAGGATTGTTGTACAATGAATGGGCCTGTATGCATGAAATAAGTCATTTTATGAGCGGCCGAAATTATATTTTATAGTAAAGTACCTATACCCAACAAGAAACGGGCGCTAGAAGTGAAATGGGCCGAGAAAAAATATTCAATACAGGAAAAATAAGTTACAAACCCTCTTTAATTTGAACTTTGAACTTCTGTGTATAATTCAAATGTATTAACCAGCTGTGTGATATGCATTTTTGTTTAGGATGATCGTGGTCGTGATCGTGATGATGGTGTGGTAGTGGTTCTAATAATGATGATGGTGATGATGATGATGATGAGGATGATGATGAGGATGATTTCAAGGAACCTAAATTTACCACTTAATTATTCAAGCTGCTGTCCCCCTCCTCCACCCCCTCTCACCCCCTTCCCTTCCAATCAAAATCCACACGCTTCCCCTCCCCTTTTCTCCTCCCCCACGTACTTGAACTCTTTAGCTGACTTTGGCTTTCAAAATCATGGCACTACAGTCTCACCCTAACTTAACGCCTAGCTCCCTATTCTTCTTCCTCTTTCCCACCTTAGTACCCCAAATACATGTATTATTTCCCCAACTTGACACCCCCTCCC